GAGAGAGAGAGAGAGAGAGAGAGAGAGAGAGAGAGAGAGACCCAGTGAACTTTGAAGAGCGCAACGCGCCGATCCCTTTGACGGAGTTTCTGTGAATGGAGCGGCTCGAGCAACCCACCCCCGCGATTCTTCCCTTCCGCTTTCAGAACGGCGCGGCGCGGCGCGGCACCGGGAACCTTTCAAAACCGCGGTCATTTTTAATTTCCGAGGATTACCGCGGACCGTGGAACGGCGGCGAGGCCAACGATTCCTCGCGTCCACTTCGAGTCCTTTTCTTTCGGGGCTATTTGCCACTCGACTTTCACGGACAACGGCCCCGTCCACCCCGCACGCGAAATTTCTTTCCGCTCAAAGGCACCCCAATGTTCTCCGCCGAAACGTTTTATTCGATGGCAGGTCTGCCGGAGAACCACTGCCGTCTGTCCCGCCGCGGCGGCTGCCTTTCATCGGGTCTTCATTAGGCCGCGGTAAATGTATTATGACTTCTGATTGAGTGCCGCCGCGGTACATGCGAGCACTGCGTTCGATAGAGAAGTCTGCTCGGTACTAGTACCGTTGAAGATGATATACTATACGGAGAATTCTTGGAATCGTGCAATTTTCTGCAACAGATTTCCGCCTGCTAGACGATGCAATTGGTCTCGATTGCTCGAGATTGTTCGTGGAACGATTTTCTTTTTTATTTATCGGTTCGCGATTACCCTAAAATTTCAATACCGAATCTACTTTGCTGACCTAAAATTAATTCAAGCATGCTATTAGCTGTAGCCTATAATAATCGAGTCTGCGTCGTTTAGAATAGAAAACGTCAGAAGAAAGTATTAGACGGGTTACGATTTATTCGAATAAATCACGAGGACGGTGGTGGACGAGAAAGACGCGTCGAGAGGGAAACCGTTTCCGTCGCGGAGCTTTTCCGCGATCGCGGCTCGCGGATCGATTAATTTTTGGAGGCCGGATCGGATTCGTGGTGGCGGGACATGGGATCCGCGCGGGGGCGGTGCGGCGCGTAGGTATCGTTGACACAGGGGGTCGCGCGGGGGCCGCGCGGCGCCGCGTCGCGCGTATATAATAATTAATGGTGCTCTCTGGCGTAGGTGTGGGAACGGCGCGACGTGTGCTCTCGCGTCGGGGGAGAGAGAACGCGCGACGTATATCTGCACGGGCAAAGATGCGTAATTGCGTTACCCATCGAATTCGGTTATACCGGCATGGCGAGTCTGATGCATAAAATGATGGGGCCAAATTCAGTTATAGTTTCGCTTCACAAAGCGAACACGGTCGCGTCGTTAATATCGCGCCGTTGCGAGCCGGTGTGATATCGTTACGATGGAATTTCCGTGATCGAAGGGGTGGTCGGCGGGGGGTGTGCGTGCACAAGTCGTCGAGAGGCTGCGAAACGAGTTCTCCCTAGCCAGAATCTTCCACGGCTTCTTTCATTTTTACGTATCCGAGTTGTAACGGCCG